GTTTATGTAACAGGCTGAAGGTGATCTCTTTTTGAATTATGTCTATGTTCAAGTAATTTTTAAAAATATTAATGCCTTCTAACATAGTTTCAGGGAAAAGTTTCACTTCTAACACATTGCTTTGATGTCTCAGCTAATTACTTCCAAACACTAGCATTTTATTTTCCCTGTGTGGCTTATAAATCACTGAAAGATCCTTTGAATACCAACTTCAAAATGAAATCTCAGTCTTCTTTAATTTAAATTCTAATACCTAGTCATCTTTTTTGCAGAAAGAGCATGTTCCACAAAATATCTGATACTCTTTCATCAAAAGAAAAACCAAACATTCTCAAGAGTTAATTATGATAGTTAAAGAAAAACTAAGGTTTTAAATACAGTATATATTACACAAGCAGTAACTCAGCCAGATTAAAAGAAAACACAGAAGCTGCATATAAGATGAAGCAATACATTTATTTTAGACTACATTCTCAAAGGCTTCCAAAGTTGGTAGCAATCTGTTGCTATTCTCTGAAATGTTAGGAAAGCTTAATTCCTCAGTTAATACTTTAGAAAACAATCCAGATAATGAGATCAAGTTCACAAAAACGCATTATCAAAAACTTAATCACTTTGCTAACATGACATTGTAATAACTATATGTCAAATAAAAAGAGAATAGAAATATTTTTAAAAAGTGAACCTTTTTAAAAAGTGAACCTTTTTAAAAATTTGTTATTTTTTTATTGAAGTATAGTTGATGTACAATATTATATACGCTACAGGTATACAATATAGTAATTCAAAATTTTAAAAAGTTATACTCCATTTATAGTTATTACAAAATATTGGCTATATTCCCTGTATGATACAACACATCCTGTAGCTAGTCTATTCAAATGGTTTGTACCACTTAATCCCCTACCCCTACATTGCCCTGTCCTGCTTCCCTCCCCCTACTGGTGACCACTACTTTGTTTCTATGTATCTGTGAGTCTGTTTCTTTTTTTCTTATATTCCCTAGTTTATATATGTAAGTGATGTCATACAGTATTTGTCTTTCCCTGTCTGACTTATTTCACTTGGCACAATACTCTCCAAGTCCATCCATGTTGTTGTAAATGCATCCATGTTGCAAAATTTCATTCTTTTTTTATGGCTGAGCAGTATTCCATTGTGTTTGTGTGTGTGTATGTGTGTATGTGTGTGTGTGTGTGTGTGTATGTACACACATACATACACCACATCTTCTCTATTCGTTCACCTGTTGATGAATACTTAGGCTGCTTCCCTATCTTGGCAACTGTAGATAATACTGCTGTGGACATTGGGGTGCATGTATCTTTTAAATTAGTGTTTTTTGTTTTTTAGGATATATACCCACGAGTGTAACTGCTGACTCATATGGCAATTCTATTTTTAGTTTTTTGAGAAACCTCCCATACGTTTTCCACGGTGGCTGCATCAATTTACATTCCCACCAACAGTGTATGAGGGCTCCCTTTTTCCACATCCTCACCAACATTTGTTATCTGTGTTCTTTTTGATGACAGCCATTCTGACAGGTGTGAGATGATATCTCATTGTAGTTTTGATTTGCATTTCACCAGTGATTAGTGATGCTGAGCATCTTTTCATGTGCCTGTTGGCCATCTGCATATCCTTTTGGGAGAAAAGTCTATTCAGGTCTTTAACCCATTTTTCAATCAGGTTGCTTGTTTTGCTGATGTTGATTTGTATGAGCTATTTATACATTTTGGATAATAACCCCTTATCGGTCGTATCATTTGCAAATATTTTCTGCCATTCAGCAGGTTGTCATTTGTTTTGTCCATGTTTTCCTTTGTTGTGCAAAAGCTTTTAAGTTCAATTAGATCCCATTTGTTTATTTTTGCTTTTATTTCCTTTGCTTTAGGAGACATATCCAAAAATATATTGCCACAATTTATGTCAAAGAGTGGCTGTTTTTCTTCTAGGAGTTTTATGGTTTCCGATCTTACATCCGGACCCTTTGAATTTATTTTTGCATATGATGTTAGAGAATGTTTGAATTTCATTATTTTAAAAACAGTAACTAAAGCTTCATGCTTCTTAGAATTAAAGATTTTGGCAGAAAACTAAAAGACTTGACATCACAAGTATCATTATCAACTTTACCACCATCTCAGAACACAAGGTAGCGAGATTTCACATGAACTTTCTTTTTCTTCTATGTTCTCCCTCCTGTATTTATCTGTTTTTGACTTGCATAGTAATAATTTTTGTTGTTAAGGTTACGTGGCGGCCCTGATTAAAAGGATATATTTTCAGCACTCACAAACTGCTAGGTATAGTCACATGTCTAAATTCAGACCAATGAGATACTGGCCGGAATGTCATGTGTAACTTCTGGAAAGTGTCCTTAGAGAGGAGGAGGAGAATGCCCTTCTTCACTCCTTTCCCCTCATGTTGGCAAGAATATGAGTGTGATGGCTGGAGCCTGAGCAGCCATACTGGATCATAAGGTAGAAGTCTTATGTTAAAGATGCCTCAGCCATAAGAGATACGAAAACAGAATCCCTGAAGACATGGGGCTGCTGCATACCACAGGCTATCGATTTTTATGTGAGAGACAAATAAACTTCTATCTTCTTTAAGCCACTGTTATTTTGGGTTTTCTGCCATTACAAATTGATTGTAGCTAATACAAAACCAAAACTCAAAAAAACTTTCTTATCAGAGCAAGAAGTCACTTCCCTCCATATTGCCAACCAAGAGTTCCCTCCACTCAGAACAAAATTGTCCATAACAATAAAATACTTAGGAATAAATCTGACCAAGGAGGTGAAAGACTTATACATGAAGAACTACAAAACACTGATTAAGGAAATTAAAGATGACTTAAAGAAATGGAAAGATACCCCATGCTCTTGGATTGGAAGAATCAGTATCATTAAAATGGCCGTCCTGCCCAAGGCAATCTAGAGATTTAATGTGATTCCTATCAAATCACCCAGGATATTTTTTTTTTACAGAACTAGAACAAATGATCCTAAAATTTATATGGAATCACAAAAGACCCAGAACTGCCAAAGC